TTTTTTTTTTTTTTACATTTTTTCCACACAATTTTTTAAAAACAAAAGGAATGTCAACAAAAATGTAAGGGGAATAATGTACAAATAGTATTATTTAAAATAAAATTCAAATTTCAGTAGGGGACCATGGACCTCTCCTATCCCACTTCCCTCGAACATTACTAACACGTGTCTCCTTCGGACACCCTACTTTCTGCCCAAGAAGCACTTTTGGAAGACCTTCACACATATTATTTAATTTAATTTATTTTGACATGTTTTGTCCAATTCAAAAGAATAACTCGGGCACACTTGTAGGCCTCAAATGCCACTACTTATTTCACTTATAAGTAAATTTGTAGTTTAAACTTAACCAAACGAGACCTCAACTATGTTATATTTTACATTTTGAATGATTAATTACTATGTCACGCGTTCATAACATCATATTGCATCTTATTTCTTTATTTTATATCATAATGGTTTTGACGATTATTCATTGCTAGACATCATCTCTTTCTTTCTATATGAATTTTAAATCATCTAAATATATTTGTCAAATTATACAAAGTAAAGGTATATCCCATTCTTAAACACTCATTTTTTCCCCTTTTAGAATGAAATTCGAATGATTTATGTATTATGACCTTGTTTGCGCCCCATTTTGGGGTTTTTATTTTGGAATTGTGATTTTTGAAGAATGCGTCGTTAAAAAACAAAAAATTTCAATTTACGTGTAAATTTATTTTATTGAAAACTGTGTGTTCAAAAATAAATTTTGAAAAAATGAATTTTTGTTAAAATAGAACTCAAACAAGGGCTGTATATCGTCAAACTACGCAAAATTGACTAGAGTTTATAATAGTCCATTTAGATCGTCCAATCTTCCTTGTCGACTTTGTTTAGGTTGTCTATGTGACATTTTAATAAAAGTATTTAGCCTCTTGTACATTATGGATGCCATAAAGGCATCCATAATGGACAAATGTCTGACCCCCCAACGTCGCCGACCCCCCAATGGGGATCGGACACTTGTCCATTATGGATGTACAAGTAGCAAGGCCCTTTATAAAATTGTATTGTATTCATTTTTGTATGGCTGAGTGATCCTATTTTATAAAAAACAATCTAGAAGACACGACTTTGTATTTAACCCCTGTTTGGCCGCCATTAAATTAAATTATATTATATTAAATTTTTCTCTCTCTTCATTACAACCACACATTCATCAGATAAAAATAATATTACACACAAATCTAAAACTTTTCATTACTTTTCCACCACACATTCTTCTATCAATCAATATTTCAAAAATTTTCGATATCAAAAATGCCAAATAATGGGGGTCAAACTGGGGCTAATTAGTTGGAAAATTTTCCAAATAAATTTGACTTAAAAATTATGTATAATCTTAGCCAAACAAGAAGGTAATGCTCTACTAAAACTCCTATAAATTTCATATCAAACATAATTTATTTGTTGAAGGAGACGAATGGTCGTATGGTACCACCTCAACCTGTAACTCTGTAACTATTTCACTATTGCATTATCTTGGTCTACTTTAGGATAAGCCCAATTATTGATTGCCGCGTGTCAATAAGGCGTCGTGTTCAAAATTAAAAGATGAACGACCAAGACTTTTCTTAGTTAGGCTTTTGATGGGGACTTGGTGTCTGCCAATGGGTGTCGTGGACGGCTTAGATTTCTCCAGGTTTAATCCAGATTATTCTTGTCATTGGGGTGGGCCCGGCGGGTTCTTATTGCATTTATGTTGCTAGAAAATGTGGCATTTGGAATATAGAACTTGAAGTTGGTGTTCATATTTTAAAGTAGTAATTGTTGGTATCGACTAGGACAAATTTTATCAGATATTGTTAAATGTGCATCAAAATTTATATAATGGATTGTATATTGTCACATAATAGTCTATCATTTGTCAATTTGAAACACAATCAATATTTTCATTCAATCATTTTCCTCTATCATATTATGTAATTCATTAAGTACATTTTTATGTACAAATGACAAAATCCAATTTTTGCTAATCACTGAAATTTTAATTAGATTGTTAAATTTAAATTTTAATTTTTTTAACATATCGTTACTTTTCGCATTTGAAGTTGCTGAATTTTTTATAATTAAATATCATACTTTACTATTGTTCCACATAATCGGTGCATAACATATCAATTTACCACTACAACACTTGATAAAAGTGTAAAAATAAAGAAAAATGCAAAGAATGGGACTCTTAGTTGCTGGCAATTTAGAGATCGCGAGTTTGATTCGTGGGGCTCTTGGAGGCAGGATTTATCCGAAAGGCAATAGTTCTCCAGAAAGGAAAGGTGCAACATGAGTTGACTCGTTCGACACTTTAGCAGATCAGTGGTGGGGGCTTTTGGACCTTGGCCAATTTGTGGCACATCTTGTGGTTTACCAGTCTGCATTTTGAGGGGTCAAGGCGTAGACTCCAAGATTAGTCGTTGAAAGCGAACAACTGAGTATCAAAAAAATAAAAAATAAAAAAAGAAAACTGCATTATCGAGTCGAAATGTCTTCATGTGGAAAGGCAAAACAATTCGGGCTTATATTCATAAAATTGGGCCACTGAGTTTTTATCAGTCATCATGGGCTGGATCTGCCAATCGAAAACTAGAAAGTTGGATTTCAAATATAGGCACTACACCTCCTAAAACCCATTATCTTATTGCCTTGGGGAATTTTCAATTGTAAGCCTAAAAAATATAATTTCAAAAATGTTCAGGTCAAAAAGTCACATTGTAGTTACTCTTTCGTTAAAAAAGTCACATACTCTTTTCATATGATAAAATACGACATCATCATTCATCTTGAATAGTAAATTTCAATTTAGTTTTGATATATATTTCCAACATTTTTAAAAATCAATAAATTCCAAATTAGGGAAAAAATAACAAGTATAGAGCCTAATTTTTGCGATTACCTTTCTATACGAATGTCACTTTTCCAAGTGAAATTGAAATGTAAACAAATAATTTGTTTGCTTCAAGTTTTTTTTTCCAATGAGTTTTAT